AACTGGCAACTAAAAAAAAAAAATGTTGCCAGCAAACGATTGGAAGGGGATATGAGTGGAGGCAAAGAAATGTTTAAATTTATTTTTCCAATACAATTTACCAACACTTATGTACATACAAGCATACATGCAGCTGCAACATACTACAAGTTGTGCATTGTGGTTCGCTAAATTTTGCGATAAAAAACGACATGTTGCTTGTGTTCACTTTTGGCTGCTATTATTGCTGCTGTTGTTTTTTCGCTACTGCGCATAGCAATTTATTTACAACGCTTGTGTACTATTTTTTTGATGCTCCATTAAGCAACATGAAAAGCAGCATTGTTTGTAATTTTTTTTTAATAAATATTTTTTTGTTTTTAATTTTTTATGTTTTTTATGCTGCAGTGACTGCAAATGAGGCGCAGCAATCAAAATGTCGTTCACTCTATGCGGAACTGTTTATTCAATGGTTGCCGGCTTGGTGGATTGATGAATGCGTTGTGTCGCTTCTGCAGTTGTTGACGCGTTTTTTTTTTTTGTGCGATTAATGCAATTTTTATAGGATTTAAATATTTTATTACATGCATATAAATACATATTTAGATTAACAAATATTATTCAGATCAATTTTATGCTGGCAAAATTATATTTAAGTGCATTTTGATTTTTAGCAAATTTATTTATTTACAAAAGTTTTATTTTATTACATTTTGTTACACTATATTTTATTGTCATTTTACCGTATTTTACTTTAAGTCATTAGTTATTTGAATAATGAACTCTGCTTTGTTTGGAAGCCACTGCATCACTTTCAAGCTTTTAGCTTTAGATTTCGTAATTTTTTTTCGATCGTGGTTATTTACATGCAATACAAAGGCAAAAAAAATTAAAGATTTTTTTTTTTTACGTAGCCTTTAACATTCTATCAGAACTTCAAAGAATCACTGCTGTCTTGCATAATAGCCAGTGCATTATTTGTTGTTGCCTTTGGCTGCGCTTTGATTATTTATTATTTTCTGAGTACTCCAATCGTTCTTATCATTCACTTTATCAACACTTGGCCATCGATAAGCTCACTATGCTTACTTAATACTTATCGCCTTGCTCTCTGCACTACATGTTTTTTAAAAGGTTGATAAGCATGTATTTAAAGCTTAACACATACACCCGCATAACGGCAAATACTTATGCACATATTTATATGTACATATACAGTATTCCCCAGATATATGCACCATTCAAAATGCCCGAGACTCGGTGCTTATAAGCGGGAAGTACTGGTATGAAAATCCCGTTTATAAGCACTCACTGTGCTTATATTGAAATCCTCGTAGTGGAATGATGACAAATTTTTCTCTGCTTGTATGGCGAAATTTTATTACGAATTTTCTAAAGCTTATAAGCGGAAAATGCTTATAACCGGGGTGCTTATAAGCGAGAAATACTGTACGTACTTATGCATGTACTGCCACGTTTGCTTGACTTGCCAAGAGTCTTAAAGACTTGCATTATTTTCATAAATATTTGCTTAGACACATTGCTCAGTGACTGTTTGTTCCATATGCACAATGTGTAATTACTCTAACGTGTATGCAAACATCCGTGTGATTGTCAAGTAGTCGCAATAACAGTACTATTTAGTTCTGTTTAGTTAGTGTAAGCTCCAGTTTTCTTTAGGGGCGATATTCTGTAAACAGTGAGCGTATTTTCTTATCAGATGACCTGGTTTTATGCAATTGCTGTTACTTAGTTCTGTTCAGAAGGTGTTTTTTTTTTATATGCGCTGCATTGGGCTTTAGCACTTTGTGTAAAAGTTTTAGAAAAACTAATTTTTGCACGAAATTATAAATTAGTAATATTAATAAAAAAATGAATAAGCAACTGTTCTGAACAAATGAATCTTTCAAGGTGAAAGCATGTAATGAAAATGAATACAGAAGCTTTTTAGTTAACCGCTGAGCAGTTAATCTAAGCCTATAAATGATTTTAAAACACTTAAAGAAATCCGCTATGAGAATGGATGTTGGGATCCCGCAATAAGTTAAATATCTAAAGGAAATTTTTTAGCCTAAGAAGCTTCTTCGTAAAACATAACGAATATCAGTTGGACTAAGGCAAAAAGGTGTAAGAAATTTCAAATATTCCGGGTGTTATTTTCGACGAAACGCACCGCTTGGTATTTATTTAGGTACATATATATCAGAGGGTGGTGTATGCGTAATTGCTTCTCTGATGCTCTTTGAAAAAGGTTGGGCAAACCGAATAATAGATACTAGATATTGGAGGGAAAATAACTGCAAATATTCAAGCTAATTGACGCATTAACAAAATTTATTCTATATGGTAGAAAATGTGCAACACCCTCGACAAAAAAAAAAAAATCTCTTGAAACTTGCACCTTATTTTACTAAAATTTAATGGGCTACAGAACTGCATACCCGACATTTTTTTGAGCAATACAGTTGAAAAGTTGAAAATTTTGATGAAATTTTTTTAGTATTTCCTGAATTTTCCCGAGTTCTATTCGAAATTGAAAAAATTGATTCTGCTGGTTTTTGCTGTTGAATGAACTATCTTTTATAAAAAAGTTAGAAAAATTTAGTATGGAAAATATAAATAAAGAAACGTCAGGGTACTCATATTTTTGGCGCTGACTGTATAGAATCTATCTATACTATAGATTATATACATTCCAAATATGAACCAAATCGGACTATAAAATCGCGGTTTTCAAATATCTGGACCTCTGCGACACCTAGCGGATTAAATCTGCTTTCATAATACATTATCATAGGTTTTGGGCTAAGTTTGAAGTTTCAAGACTCTAGCTCCCCGGGAAGTGGGTTAAAAATCGATTGACGCACACAAACCTGCATAAAAACGTAGCAAGTTAAAAAAAAGCTTGTAAAAAGTACATACATATGTGTGTACATACATACATACTTTTCAAAGTACCGCATAATGCTCAATTCAAATTTCAAGCGAACAGCTATGTATCTATAGAACATATCAATTTAAAATTTATTTTTACTCAATATCAGCAATTGATAAGAACGAAGTCAAGGTTTGTAGAACGAAAAAGTAATAAAATTATTTTTGGCGCACAAAAAGTAGAATACACAACTTGTGACAATGTATAAAGTGAGCGAGTTTTTTGGTCGTACAAGTTAGAAAAAGACGAAAAAAAAAATAATAAAGATAAATTCAAAAAAATTTAGCTAGTGCAACTATTTTTTCTAAATACATACATATGTTCATATGTGAGAAAAATCATGCATGCACACATTAATTTGTTTTGAAATTTACTTCAATGCACAGCAGCCATAAATTATGTTATTAAAAATATTCGCGTTTTCTATTTTTTTTTTCTTTTTCTTGATAACTCATTGATCTTATTAATCAAACGTCAATTTGTTGTTACTTATTTATTTGTTTGTCTCAATTGTTATTGCCTTGGTGTTGCATGTGTGCATTTGTTTGCAATTGGCACTTCGCAGCCGTCGCTGAGCAATGATCGCGGCCGGCAACACTTGTTGGCACTTGTGGTGATGGCGAGGCTGCCTTGTCTGTTGGGTGGTGGCCGACTCAGCCAGCCTGTAACTTTTTCACATCATGCCACATAAATTTTAGATTTGTATGCATTTTTTTGCAACTTCATGTGTAATGCGTAATTTTAAGTTGCACAGAATTAATTATGAAAATAATTTTTATCGTCATTGCCATCTGTTGCTATTAATTTGTTTGGCAAATTTGTTGAGCTACTTACATACATATGTACATACTTTGAGACGCAGTTTGCTACGTACATACGTAAGTAGAGAATTTTTAGGCTACTAAAATGGCAAGAAAGTTGAAGTTACATTGTGGCAAAGCCAGAAATATTAAATTTTTTAATTTGTTTTTTAAAATTTTTCTTAATTTTTTGACTTTTTTCTAAACAACTCCTTGTTTTGTTACTTTATTTTGTAGAAAATGTTATTTTCTACTTTTTAATTTTAATTATTTTGTAGATTTTGTTAAGAAAAATGTAATTCTTTTTACTTTTTCCAAATCAATTATTTTACTTCGCTATTTTATTTTGTAGAAAATTTATTTTCGCTTTTTTAATTTTAATTCTTTTGTAAGTTTTTTAGGCAAATTTATTTTGACTTTTATTCAGTATTTGCATCATTTTTTTAAAGGTGATCACACGTACTTTTAGCAGCTATTTTATTTTTGTTTATTTTTGGCGCTGTGTCTCATGCGCTGCAGTTGCTAATTTTAAGGCTTCAAAACCTATTTATAAAAATTTAAATAAATAAATCGCAATTTTTTGTCACTCCACACGCCATTAAAAGCAACAACAAATAAGTAGGTATATTAATACACAAAATTGGCATTTTTCACTTTCAGAATGCTTAATTCGTTTTATATCCACTATTTGTATAAACGTCAAATTTTTACTTTTTTTTCGTACTTTTCTCATTTTTTATTGATTTTTGTTTTGTTCAGTGGCTAAGTGTCCGTCTTGGCCCATAACTTCATTAATGCCAACGTAAGTAGCATAAAAAATATCAGCAATTGTAACCCCGTACAAAAAAAAAATATCCGTTAAATTGGCGAAGGTGCGAACAAAGCAAAAGCGTTAAAAATTAAAACAAAAACACTAAAGGGGCCAGAATTGGTTAAAAACACAAACAAAAAGAAACTAACAATATTATTTAAAACACCCATTGATTTTAGATTTCATTAGTTTATCTCTCTTTTATAAGCACTTCTCGTAATCAGCCTCACATAATTTAACATTTGCGCATCTAGACCCCAATAATATTCTGTATGATGGCTTTTCTGCTTAAACATCAACACTCATTTATGTATGCACATTTGTATGTATGTTTTATTTACATATTTATTTATTAATCTCATTTTCATTGTATGCATTTTTATTTTCTTAATAATCAGTTGAACAAACACTCGACACACAGCTGAGGTCAACTATAGGCTCATTGTGATTATCTCTGTCGATTCATGTTACTTACAAAAAATATTTTTCTTAGCACGTTGTTTCGCTTTTTGTTTTGTTTAAACGCAGAACACGTTATTTTGTATGATTTATTTTACACTTTTTATTATTTTCTTAGCGATCGTTTGTTCAATACGCTTCCGCGCACATTTCCAAGTACAAATCATCTACAACTCACTTTTAAAACTAAACACAAGCCGCTCCCAAAACCTCACATGATCGCTAATGTTGCTAATGGAAAACATGTTGTGAGAGGCGAAACGATGTTGAGAAGGAGTATGTGAGAGCGTGTGCTGGCCGAACACAGGTGTGTGGGTGAGTGTACGCACAACAGCTGAGTGGAGTAGAGAGCGCGTGAAATGTTGTGCCAGCTGGTGTTTTTATATCTGTGGTCATAAGAAATATGCCTAAGTCCACTTAAGAGAGAATTGAGTTCAATAAGCTGTCGTATTCTGCAACTACTATTCTATGCGCATGTGAAATCCCTATCCCACCAGATAGGCTATTTAAAAAGTTATAGACGAAAATATTTTGGTTTCCCCGTAAGGCTAAGATTACAATCCAAATATTCAAAACTTGTTTTCTGTAATTCAGGTTTTTCGACTTAGGCGGTTATTTTTATGATCATATCGCACACCGTCTTCAAAAGAGTCCCAACTCAAAATAATACGTTTGTCAGAAAATGCGAAAACCAATTTCTTAGCACATGATAATCATATGGGCGAAGGCGACTTGACCTTAGGTTTTTTTTTTTTAACAAATTATAACAAAAATTTGCTCCAGCTGTTGCTAAAAGGTAAATAAAAGCTCTGCGTACATTTTTAGCGCTTAATCTCAAAAATGCCAAATTTTGAGTTATGACTCTTTCGAAGACGGTGTGCGATATATATATTGTTTTCAGCGTTGCCGTTTGGTTACAATTGTGCAAAAGTGCTGCATTTAAAACGAAAAGCCATAATGCTACAAAAATTCTAAAATGGCTAATATTTTGGAAAGAACACAGCATACATACTTTGTACGGTAGAAAATGCGTGACACCCACCATCAGCAAATAAAGTCATGAAAAATCAAGGGAATATTTGAAGAGAATTAAATTAAAATTTAATGGGCTATAAAACTGTATACCAAAATTTCACTGAAACTTTGTTGAATTTTCCCTAACATTTGATACAAAATTTGAATTCTTGACTTAATCGTTTTTTCACATAGAGTTAACTATATTTTAATAGTTTATCTAATAATTAAAATTAAAAATAAAAACCTAAATACACAAAACTTGTCAATACATTGTGAAATCTTAATTATTTTGTCCAGCGCAATATTAAAAAAAGACTAAATTTTTGATAAATTAAACCACGGCATTCTCTACTTATAATTCTAAGCTTTAAAAAAGATTAGCTACGCTTCAGTCAGATTTGGTAAATTTTTTGGTAACAAAAAACAATTAAGTGTGTGGCAACACTGACTGTTTTCCCCTTATCGCGCGAAACATGTTGCTAGAGTCTAGACACAAATGTTGCGCGAAAGTATGGGTATGCGCAAGTAGTAGAGGCTGTGGGGTATTTTTGATGAAGATAACAAACACTTATGAACGGACTACATATTTCTTTTTATCATTAATAATATTCTACTTTATTATAATTTTTTCATAATTAAATACTTTGACGAAGGGACCTTCTATAAGCACGAACATGTTCAATGGCAAAGGCATTTCAATTAAAAAATAGTTAGAAATAAGTTTAGAAAGTCATAATTCTAAATTGTGCCATATGAGAAACATTTAATTGGTGGATCTATGAAGTTTACGCCAAAGTTTAAATTTAGTACAGTACAGTATCTCCTCGATTAATGCAGCTCAAGATCAGTTGATGGAAAAAATTGAGCAATTATACCACCGAATTTGTATTTTATTTTTTTTCCTCTTAAGAAAACGAAAAAAAAAAGCAGTGCCGTCATTTTAACAAGCTTGCTCATAATTCTAATTAACATTTTTCTTTGAGATCTTTCTTGGGGATTTTAGCTCTCCGAGGCGGTCCGAGTATTTGATTAAATAAAGCGCGGTATGTATTATGTGCATATGTATTTCTTAAAAAAAGTTCGAAAATGAAATATTTCTAAGTAAGAATATGTAGATAACAATTAGTTGTACCGATTGAGTGATTACAATTTACATCGATTAATCGTTTAACGATACAAATTTTAATCGATTAATTAAAAATCGATTATAAACAATTTGAAAAAATAATACGATTCGTCCTTTCAAGAATTAAAAAAATAACATAAAAATATAAATGCATGTATGTAATTAGTTAACCATTTTCATGTCTGAGTTGACATGCCTCTGGCCAATGAAAAATGAAGGTCAGATATAACAGATGATTCCATCGGAGGAAAATATTATTTTGCGAAGAGGAGTAAGAATTTGGAATATATTATGAATTGAAAATAACAGTTAAGTATCAAGATTTCTATATTATTGCAAAATGGTTTTTTTATTAAAATTTTTCGTTAAATTTGAATTGTTATTTTTTCGACAAAAATAATAGTTTTTTTTCCAATTTTTGTTTTGTTCGATTATTTTAACCGTTGTAATGAAGGCAGCGTTTTTATAGCCGATTTAAATCTTTTATGATCTAAAATATTAAATGGGAAAGTAACGGTTATTACACGATAAAAATAAAAATTGATCAGTAAAATAGAATACCGGTTTATTTATGATTTTTACAAGATCATAACCGTTAAGGTCCCTGGTATATACTATTTTCATCTTTCAATTGGAACCTAATTTAAGTCCGCAATAGATAATAAGCACGCATTTTTTCGTTTGGTAGATTTTTTCAAATAAAATATTTAAAATGCTTCATATTTTACGATGACCCTACTTATTTTTTGCGATTTTATTAAAAAAAAGAGGTCTGCATTTCCAAAGAAATTGTTAAGCGACTTCTGTCATAAGTTGTTGTCCACGAAAGTAGGGCCTACGTTACCGAGACGATCCAGATTAATATCCGATCAAGGATAAAATTTATTGGGGATTTTTTATGTTTGTCCCTTAATTCGAGAAGCTACTGTAGTTAAACAGACACGCAATATAGTTTCAGCTCTTTTCATTCGATAATGTGATATTTAACTATAACACAATAAGTTTGGTACAATCACAGGACGATAAGTAAAAGTATTTAGTTAACTTTTTTTTATTTATGAAACATTCTCATTTCACCAGAATTGATACAGCATCTCAACGCATTTTTTCTTTAAATGATTATGTAAAAACTCCACTCTGGGTATAATAAAAAGAGGATAGCGAAACATTTTATGTATTTTTAACTTTTTGATCTCATTATGGGCTAAGAAATAACTTGTTGCTAGATTTTCATTTCAAAACAAACACTTCGTTATACTAATTTTAATAAATAATACAACGACGCCACACACTTCACAATTTACATATTATAACACCAAAATTTTTTTATCTGCATTTTATGTAACCATTTCTATATATTATTTAAAAATAGAACAAATTGATTTCTTTTCAACAAACAAACGACCGCTAAATGATGCTTACAACGCGACACTGAACTCGAAATGAAAATTGGAACTCCCAACATTTCTAGCTGACAACTGAATTAAGCGCTTCCATATCCGTACAACAGTGGCGACTTACAGCCGCAACGACACTGTGCCAGTAGCCTCAAGCTAACAGCAGCATCCACAACTCAATACTTAACTGCCGCTGCCAGTGCCAGTAACTTCAACAATATAATTTCCAATGTGTTTTCCACGCCGAAAAGCAACTCCAAAGGAAAATATATATACATACAAACACATGGGTTTGTGTGCGTTTAACCGAAAAGAGGATAAATGGCCATCAAAGTATTGGGGCGCCAAAGTGGCGACACTGGCGCGACTGTGCAAAAATAATAAAAACAAGCAAAAATAATACAGTCAGCTAAAGATACAAAAGTAGACGAGCGGAAAGATGAGCCACCATTTTGATATCCTTGCAAATTTTATATGGTGCTTTCCGCCGCACTCACACACGTACATACAAATGTACTCATACAAGCTTGCAACAGCGACATACAGCGTGCTTTGGCATGCGAGTAGCGAGCTTAGAAAAAGTTGAACAGCAAAAACAATAATGTGGAAAAGTAGTAAACAATCATAAGCGCCATCACCCTGCGTTGGAGCAGCATTTGGCATGGTTGGTTGCTAGGCACCCAGCCACCAGTTCGACAGGCAGACGGCCAGTCAGCCAGGCAGGATGTGCACCAACAAATACATGCATATGTACATTTTCTAATGCTAGCTTTTATGGCGGAAACAACACAAATACATACATATAAAATTTGTTTGTTATTGTATTTCCTGTGCTCTTTTTTTCGACATCCTGTTGGCGTCGCTCAGTCTGGGCCAGGGGGTGGTGGCTGTTGTGGATGTAAAATTTTGGCGCGTCAATGACGCCAGTGCTACTTTTCACAATCAGAGAAGTTCTTCGCCAAATATAGGGGCGATTTTCTGTCATATTTACTACTACAAATGCTTGTCCAGTAGCTGATTTGTGTATGAAGATTTTTTGTTTTTGGTTTTTGATTTTATACCTAGCCGTTTCTCTGCTCGTTTATGACGTACTTACTTATATATTTGGCAAGAGGAATTGCAAGCATACAGCAATAACTCTAAATGGCATAGAAATGGCCTCTCAAGATATGATGAAGAGGATGAACTCGCAATAAAATTAAAATATTAGGGGAAACTTAAACTACTATAAAACTATATATATATATTAGGGTGGTCCAAAAATGAATGTGCAAAAGTAAAGTCGGAATTATTATGCTCTCACCCCTAGGATTGTTCTGTACCGAAAAAATATACCCTTCTTTTTATACCCGAGCGCACTTGTGCACAAGGGTATTATAACTTTATTCACATAACGGTTGTTTGTAACAGGCAAAACGAATCGAGATAGATATAGACAAATGTATACATAAATGATCAGAATGAAAAGAGAAATCGATTAAGCGGTGACTGTCTGTCCGTCCGTCTGTNCTTTTCGTAGAAATGGTATATTTAACAAACAAAAATCACGATTAAAAATGTAGCGGAAAACAAACAATTCAAAAATAACGATTATACTTAATCGGAAAAATAAAAACGTTTAAATTTTA